ATTGCTTTGATACCCATTTCTTAATGGATCCAACGGAGTTAGAAGTGATATCCACTGACACTGAAGACTTAGGTTCAGCAATTGTCTTCACTGAGCCTGAAGAAGAGGCTTTAGTGGTCTTCTTCATCTTAGTTGTTTTCACAACTTTGGTGGTTGATTTCGCCTTGACTGATTTTTCAGCCTTAGCTACTTTCTTCACCTTAGTTGGCAACCCAAATTTGTTAGTTGAAGGACACTTACTGACAATATGTGAAGTTTCACCATAGTGACGACACTTCCTGAAGCTGAAAGAAGCTTTAGGGCCAAAAGGGTCAGAGAGAATAGAAGAGGGACAAGCTCCAAGGGTTCCTTTCTAATTTGTTCGAGGAGGAACAACTGAGGGTTTGGATACCTTGGGTGAAAGATTCACTTTCAGCTTTGGCTTATATCTCTCAGAGGATTCAGAGACCTTGGTCCCTAAGGAAGAAGGTTTACAAGCCGAAGAAATAGATCTGGGTCTATTTGACTTGTTGGTCTTCTTGGGAAAAGGAGTGCTGACAATGGCTTTTCCTTTGTTTTTGCGTCCTGAACTCGAGGAAGTTCCTTCAAGAGAAGTCTCAGTGGAAGAGTACAAAGAGGAAGAGGTGTTAGGAATGGAAGAGACAAAAGTACCAAACTTCAACATGGACTTGTCAGTGACACTTTCTTCCCGATCATAGGAGAATCCTATACCACTCTTTATCTTGGAAAGGGTATGTGCGTTGATGATCTCATAGGCTTGATAGAGGCTTTGCACCACCCTTCAATGGTAGCCTTCTCAGCATTGAGTTCAACAATAGCTTGCTCAAGCTCAAAGATAGCCTGTTCGCATTCGATGCTTATGGTCTGGTTTACAATGACCTGATCCTTAAGGTTTTCCTCAATCTTGGCCAGCTCTTTGATCTTTGAATGGTATTTCTCTAATTGTTCTTGAAGATCAAGATTAAGCTTTTCAGCTTTGGACTTGCCATTCAAGGCATTGTAAAGGTCAACCGCCAGCTTATTGAGTGCAAAAAGGCTATCAGGAAGAAGAAGAACCCTACATGTTACATACCTGAGAAGATGTTGATGACGAGGGATCACTGGAGAATGATGTCTCTGATGGTTCATCTTTGACATCCTTGGCCATTAGACAGAGGTAGGTCGTGTCTTCCTCGTCAAAATATAATTCTTCAGAATAATCAACCTAGTCATGCTCTTCAGCGACAAGACCTTTGTCTTTACGCTGAAGATTCTTCATCTTCTTGTACTTCTCCTTCAGTTTCAGGTACTTGTCTTTTTGAGGCCTGAAGGAGGATGGGAGGTTGGAAGATGGCGTCGCGGTTTTCTTCTACCTATATTTACTCGCAAAGTGACATTTGCTTTGACAGTTGTAGTAGCTTGCTGAAGCCTTGTCATTGAGGTTTAACTTTGGCTTTTCAGCTATGGTCAGCGAAGGAGATATGCAATAGTTGCTTTTTCTGGGGAACCTTCTGAAAGAGTTAGCTAGAAGGGTCAGTGACTCGTCAAAAGATCAGCGTCTGTCAAGTCTTCAGAGTTAGAGGGATCTAACCCAGTGTTACAAACAAAAGAAATAGAAGGAAGAGAAGAAATAAAATGGTCAGCTGAAGGGCTATCATAGAACAAAGCTAAAGGAGAGCTTTTCATTTCCCTGGAGTCTTTGAGAAGATTCTTCTTTAGCTGACGGGATTGCTTATAATTAAGCAATATCCATAAAGAAAACAATTAAATCGTTGATGTACTTTAGACAAAGATTCAGTTTTTCCACAAAGAAACTGTCATTTTCTTTATAAAAAAAATGGTAGGGACTGAGGCTCTGAAGGCTTTACAACTTTCTTCCCTTCCTTTTAATAAAAAAAGCCTAATTGGTCTGCTCAGCAAACTTACATTGTATTACTAGATTGATCTTCCTCGATTCTCGTACTTCAGAAGTACCTTCAAATTGAACACATAGAGTGTCCCACATGGATTTTGATGTTTTAAGCTTCATCACTGAGTGATAGACCTCGTCAGGAAGAACCATGGCTATTATAGACTTGGCACGAGTGTCTAAAGCTATCTTCTTCTTGTCTTCATCACTCCATCGATGAGAGAGCTTTGGAATCTACCGTTAAGGAATCGCGGCAATCATAGCAGTTGTAGAAACTGCTGGAGAGATAGCAGATGAAACATAAGGTCCATTCTCTATGTAGTATGAAATCTCATGATTCACACCTTCCAAGAAGAGAGACATCCGGATTTTCCAAAGACTAATGTTGTCTTTAATAAAACGGGGTGGTTTGGCAAGATAGTCATTATCGTGAAAGTTGGTGCTAGTGTTTTGCAAAACCATTTTGAAAGAAATAGATTATCTAAAGAAGAAGAGATAATAAACACCAATAAAACAACAATTCAACACAAAAAGAAAACATTATTTTGATACCACTTGTTGGTCCCAACCGGATCTACAGAAGTTTATAGATAATAGTTTGTAGAAGGAGGGGGGATGAATACAAACATAGTAACTTTCACTATAAAAAAATTATATATTGATAAAAAAAGATCAATACAAATTTTACTGATTGTTTGCAGAAGAGATAGGATACAAAACCTATCTAAACAATCTAAGATACACACAAAGTTACAGATAGCAATAAGAAAAGATTTGTTACAAGAAATAAGGTAATAAGAAATGTGTTCTTCACTTGTTAAAGTGGGTCTTTCTCTTAGACATAGAGTAGAGAGAAGTAACTACATAGGTAAGTATAGAGTGAGGAAGATAATAATTGAGAGGAGAACTACTCAGCTATTTATACTCATTGTATTAAATGCAATTTAGAAGGTACAGGATACGTGTCAAGCTTTTAAAGGAAAGCTTGTCCTTGTTACAGTATAGAGTCCTTTTGGTTGTATATGAACAGTCATCTTTCATAAAGTAGGTAAGCATGTTTAGAGTCGAAGGAGTGGCTTCGTATTATATTATACTTAGAAAGGTATGGGTTTGTCCCTTGTGTGCAGAAGGACAAGACAAAAACTAATCTTGCTCGACAAGATTCATTTGATCACTGAACACTGGAATGTATAGACGAGCTTGTTATCACCGAAAACCGCTTCAGATAACGAGCTTGTTGGTCTCTAATCTTCAGCTTCTGTCTTCGACATCGCTGAAGGATCTGTGGTGTGAGTTTTGTCTTCTTGAAGTGTATCGGTCTCTGAACGAGTTACAATACATGTTCAACGATCACTAAACAGACTCAGTGATGATCGTTGAAACTGAATACAGAGATTATACACTTCGATAGATAAAAGGATCATCATCAAATCATTGAGAGAGAGGATCAACAATTTTTTATTTGAAATTTTTATAATTTAATTCCTTTAGAAATTATTTAATTCTCATTCTACACATATGAACATATAACAAATATTAATAGATATAGAAAGGTTTTGTAAGATCTAGGATTCCGATATCAGACCCTTAATGACCAGATTCATCTTCGTCATATCCACCAACAGAACCTTAATCACAAGCATATGTGGCTATAGCGTAAAATGTACAGTTAAATAGGAATTAATGCAAGCTTAATTTGCATTTTTATGGCATGAGGTTTAAAACATACGATTGTGCATACTAAACTTAACACGTTGATGGGAAGACGATGCATCATATAATAAAAGAAAAGAAGGTTGACTCCATTGAACGAATGCCGAACTTTAGACTCAAGCAAATTCGCAGGAACTCAAATTTGGGATGAAAATTGGAAGTATTATATTTAAAGTCTAACCATTCAAATTACATCAAAAAGGCAAAAACATATAAATAAGAGTACAAAAAGTAAATGGACCTGAAAAAGGTGATGGACCTACATAAAATCCCAAACATAAAATGGAAGTTTAGCAAAAAAGACACAAAAGTGTCCAAAGACATGTTCAAGCAACGTTTTTAAGCCTCAACTTGACGTATTATAGGTCTGAAACGGAATCCTATAATAAAAGTTATGCGCATTTAAGCACGAAACCATCTTAAGCCAAACTCAAGGCACAATAGGGCCCAGTACCAACGCATGGCAAAATATTAAAATATTAAAATGCTTTGTAAATCGGTTGATAGGATGACTCCAAGCATTTAACCTTAGTTTCAAGCAATTGTGCTTACTTCTTGTTCGCATTTTCATGGAAAAAATTTCTCTGATCGGAGTCCGACAGGATATAGTTTCTTGGAATGTGATATGAACGGCAATGAGTGTTTGTAGAAATGCCTGAAAGGAATATAATATGCGAATATGGTCTCTTTAGGTATGATGTTCAATTTGAATCTGTTGGTTGTGAACTTGAGTTAAGTTTTGACATTTTTTGGCAAACGAGATGGATGTTTATTGTCCCACCCATCAACCATTCTTAAACTCAATATGCGATACCATAAACTCAATTTGCAATACCAAGCAATGAATGTGTTGTGCCATAGTTTCTTTTTTCTTTTTTTTTAACCTGGATATCCAACTCGCTATGCGAGCTGACTAATCCCAAGGCGACCACCTGCTTTGTAGATAGCCCGTAGTCACCACATTTGAACCTCTGTGGCCACAAAGAAATTTTTATTCCTCCTTGGATTTGAACCTGGGAACTCCTGATACTTTTTCACCTTTGGAGCCAAGTTCAAACCAATCAGGCACCACCCTTGTGGTTTTGTGCCATAGTTTCAAGACACGTATGAAATGCACGACAACTGTTCACCAAAATGCCCACAAGAAATGTTACTTTTGGGCCTCAGCATTCCCCTATATCTTCTCATCACATCTTTTAAACTTCAATGAAACAATTTTCCTTGCATTTCTGCAAACTTGGAACCCGATTACCATACTCATAATCCATGTCCCATGCATTAATCTGTGGTACAGCAGAACTTGGGTTATCATGTAGAGCAGCGGTGGAATAGGTCTGTTCCTGATGTTAATTTTTCTTTTTTGTATTCTTGGATGTCTTTCCATATTGGCCATGAATAAACATCCCTGAAACCGAATATTTGTTTCATATATGGATTCGATTTTCTTCATGACATTGTTAAAAACTGATGTACAGCTAAATCTCTAAAGGATAGATATACCAACAATTTACAAAACTTTGGATCAAAACTAAAATCGAATCTATATATTTTTAAAAAATACCTGTGGAGAATAGAAGGCTATGAATCAGTTCGACTGATGAGTTCAGCAGCTGCACCCATCGTACCAACACCACCCGATTCCAGTAGAGTAAGTGCAAGTTCTTCCTCATTCCATTGCCTCAACCCTTGACTCAACCTCTTCAAAACCTCTATGTCGATTTCCACTAACCAATTCGGCATACAACCCACCATCAGGCTCACGAAACCTGTCACATAAGAATGCCAAGTGATAGGATCACACCCAAGCGTTATCTTCCCATTAAGGGCACTTGCTAAAAACTCCATGTGGGACCCAAGAAATCTAGGCCGCCACTTAGACGCTGATAGGGACGAGTCAACACCCCAGGCGAATGCTCCACAAAGCACAGTGAAATAAGCAAGAGCATACCCCCATAGCATTGAAACAGCTCCACCTGTGTTTTCTCCTTGGCCGGTCATTTGAGCCGATATAAACCAAGATGGCAGAGTCTCATTTATCATTGACTGAACTAAGCCTTGACCTCCAGATAGCCATAATATGGAGGCACCTAATTGAGCAGCTAGTTTAACCTTGGTCAATGCTGTAGCAAGTGAAACTTGACCATACCTTATTTCTTGCTTGCCTTTCGGAGTTTTGCCATTAGAAGCTATATCTTTCACAGATTGCATCAACAACGAGATAATATCTTCTCTGAGGAACATGATATCCCTAATGGAACGATAGACGCGCAAATATAGAAATCCGGGGGCCACGGGAGATATCTCCCCGTAAGAGTTGGACCCAAACCCATGCCCGAGTAGTGCTCCGACACCACCATGGCTTGATATAATAGTATTATTTAAGCCAAGTGTGGCAGTGAAGCAGCTCTTAAGAAGCTGAGCCACTGCATCATTGTCGTGGAGGAAAACCGTACGAGAAGATGAGAAGCGAAGGAAATCACTCCATTTCTTTGCCTTCTGGGTCCACAAGGACGCTACAATTGGCATGCATGGCCACGGGCAACCAGCTGCAAGTGACTCCAAGGCCGGTCCAGCTAGATTGAGAAACCGCTGTGATGCTTTGTCAAGTTTGTATGTTATGGTGAGGCTGACAAAGGCAGCCAAGGGCAATGGAAGAGTAGCTGGAGAACTTATCCCTGCAAAAGAGAGTCAAATTTCTTGGATTTTTAAAACCTTTTTTCTAATTGGGAGAAATTATGTAAGGTAAGGACAGAACCTGCAAGAAGTGTTGGGACATTAACACCAGTGGCAGCCAGTATATTCTTGATATGTTCTTCAACATTGGAAAGGTTTGCAGCTGGACTTGGCCAATCTGTTCCATTCATGAATACTGGTTTCCAGACACCACGAGACACTTCAGCTGAGAAGTAACTCACGATGATCGCCAAAGATGCAGGAAGAAAGTCTGCCAAATCTTTTAGCCCTGCAAATAGAAGATTTAAATTAACATCTCACCAGGAGAAGGAAGGAAAAAAGGCATTCATTAAGAACTGACCTGTACACAGCTCACGAGGAGATAGTCTGCCATGGGCACATGCAGTGAGAGCAGCATCAACCACAAAAGGAACAGCTTCAAGAATATCCCAAGCAGGGAATTTGGGTCTTAGAGACGCATCTTCACTGCCAGGCCCTGATGAACTACTACTTCCTGATACACAAGTAGTCAGTGGCTGGTTCCTATTTATCTTTTTAAACATCATATTTAGAAGGCTATCAACAATCTGATGAACAGGGGAATGAACAAGACCAGAAACGGTGGAAGCTAAACAAGCTTGATGCTGACGATACCAGGCTTTAAGTTTCGGGAAAGAATCAACAAATATGGGATTAGGACATGATGTTTTTGCCACTGCAGAGAGTCGCCTTCTATTGCGGTCCTCGTATATGTTTTTGCTACCAGAAGAAACTAATTGGGAGTTTCGCATTAATAAGAGGTATTCAGGAGTGAGTTGGGATCCCACAGGTGGAACATCTCCAACTCCATATTCAAGAGGAGGATGATTGAACCTCCATAGCTTTAGAAGAAGCGCAAATGCATTTGAAAACACAGCATATGCAGATATCTCTTCTCCTGTGGTCAGAGTCCATGATATATTGGGCACACATGATCCAAATACTTCACAGATTGGCATCAAAGAACCAGCAAGCTGTGGAACCTGGGAAACGCAAAAAATGAGTTTGACTATTAGAACAAGGATAAAATGATCTCAACCAACTGACTCTTTAACATCAGTTGGTCATTGTCACCATTAGTTATGGGATGCATATTGAAAGGACATCAATTTTCTAAAACTGCATTGCTAAGAATGTTGGTAAGAGAGAATCTATTAGAAACCTAACCAAAGTAATATGATCATGTTTTCTGAAATAGCATAATGCTGAACTTACCAGCCCATGTAGAGAGAAAATCTGAACACAGTCAATGGGCGCTATACCAACAAGAAGAACATTCAGCATGGGAGCATGGGCTATCAGATGGCTGTCATTCCCCAAATAGTTTGCAGGTGGTGGTGGTGACAACAATCTGGTAATGAAATAAACACTGTGCTCCTGCAGTTACCACAACTCTTTAAGTCAGTCAACACAGTTGAATCGTTCTGTCCAAGAAGTACCGGGAGAAACCAAAGGGTCATTGGTTCAGCGGTACCCGGAATACCAGTAGAGTTCAGCTCTCAGGAGGTCAAAGTTCTAACATCACCAAAGGTGAGAAGGGTACATGAGTATTTGCCATATATAAATATTATGTATATTCTAAAAAAGTATTGAGAGAAAATGAAGATACATTATGCGAGTAAATACCAATCGACTCTACATTATTGCTTTGTGTTGTTTTAGTGTCGATTATCAAGTAAATACATATAAACAAAGTAATTACCTGGACATTCCAACCCCGAATCAAAGAGGCCCCACAGAGAATAGTAGCAGCAGCTATTTTCTCGTCGTCTGATCCGTTGAGAGCAATCTCAAAGACTTTCTCAAGCTCTGCTAAGCTTCCATCAAATCCATTAGCTTAAATTCAGTTGTTTTTTCATTGACTAAATTTAAGAAAGATGCATCTGATATACCAGCCTTCAGAAACAAACAATATAAACCAAAGACTAGGTGATACGCAAGGACTACAACAGAGATATACACTCAAGTTTCACCTTCATGCGTTTTACCTCCAAATATGTTACATGTGCTCCTACTTAGAAGGCTGATTTTATGCTATGTTTGGTAACTGGCGGATAAGCTACCTGATGACTGATAAGCTAGCTAGTAGCCGATAAGCTAGTTGATGAACAAATCATGTTTGACAAAAATTAACTTATAAACATATAAAGACTAACAAAAGGCATCTTGAAAAATTAATCAATTACAATATTAAGAAATCAATAATATAATACGTTAACAAAAAGAATTTCAAATTGATGATTATAAATTTTGGATTTGTTAAATGAATTTTTGAAAAAATCTATTAATTTATGATTTTAAATAACCATTAGATATATTTTGAATAACATAAAAGTGTCAACCTCACATATTCTAATTTAATTCATAATTTTTCAAAATATATGATTAATAATTAAATTAAATATTTTATTAGAATCATTTAACACATTTTTATTATCTATAAAACAAAATAAGTAATTTTATGTAACTTACATAAATATTTTTAAAATTTTATATTTACTTTTTGATAACTAAATATATTGAATAATATCCATAAAAATAACTGATATGATTAATATTATTGTAAATAATTAATTTTAGTGTATATTGTATAATGTATAATTAAAATTAATTAATAATTAGTTAGTATATATATGTAGTTGGCATTCTGTTGGAAGAGAATATTTTATCCATCCCATTCATGAATACCCCTTCCCCAGAACAAATTACAATGACAGCACAACTAGAAAGAGAACATTTTGCGCTCGTGTATTCATATGCTAGCATCATTTATGGAATTATATATGTATACCTTGAAGCAGGTTCAGAAACAAGAGCGTTCATCATCACGGGAGTAATTGGTGCCCCTTTCATAAATGAAGACCAGCCAGGAACTTGAGCAGGAACACCATGAGGTATTTGGTTGATGCGACCGGTCACATAACCTGGCCAGAAATACGCTGATGTGTCCAATAGATTTCTGGCAATACATGCCTCAACTATCAAATGGTGCAAGTTTCCAGCTGCAAATCAGGAACATAAAGATGATTTAATGACACTCAAAATCACTACACTACTTCACCTCTTCTGTAATATCATGTCCTCTCAAAACCACCTCAAAGCGTGTTTATATTATCCTTTTTCATCATCGCTTTTCGTGTGAAAATGCATAGAGTAGGAGTAGCTTCTATATAGATTGGCAATCTGATGTTTCAGCCATAAAGGATTGATTTGGGACACAGGGAGTATAGTTTTCTCAGATCTGTTAAGTCATTTATGTAACTTACTGAAGTTGATTGCCATATCTTTCATGTTGATGAAATCAAAGTACGCACTGCTACCAACATTAATCCCTGAAGTGAACATCATTGCTTTTGCAGCAGCCTGGTTGGCAGCAGGAATAATTGACTGAGGCGGAGTCAACAAGCTCTGGTAATCACCTAAACTCTGTAAGCTAGATACCAAATCCCTACGACGCTTTTCTCTACAGTTTTGTGTGCTTTGACGATCTATCTTGTTTTGTGGCATGCTTTCCTCATCCTCAATTAGATCAGAAACCACAAGAGTTGTAACAGATAATAACATGCATAAGCGAGTATCCAGGCGAGGCATAGGACCCTCGATGGGATTTCTTTCCTGAAAATAAATAAGATGATGAAAAACAGTGAAAAGGAAACTGTTAGCATTGTCAAAAGTAAAATGGATAATTAGCACAACTAATTCCTAGTTAAAGGAAATCTAAACAGCCAAGATAGTTTATGGGATCAGAAGTAAAAATAACAGACTAAATTGATGAGAAATCTCAACCCTTTGAACAAGACGAAGAGCTGCCATCCAAAGACCAAGAAAACTCTCATACCAAGTGGTGCCATTTAAGGCTTGAAGAGCTTTTACGAAACCTGTAAGCAAGAAGCGTGGTTCATATTCTAATAGATAGTTCTTGATCAGAAGTAAGTTTCTTTTTAGGAAAAGTAATAAACCGAAACGGGCCTTACGCTTGACAATTTCAATGGCACTTGTTGTATCAACTTGTGAACCATCCATTGCATCTTCAAGCACAAGATCAAGAGGAAGCCACAGAGAAGAACCACCAACTTTATGAGAAAGACCAGCAGGTGAAGACATTACTGTGTGGATTTCTTGCAAGTAACTTGCTTTGGTTTCCTCGGACACAATTTTACGATCATCTGATATCAGTTGAAGGAGAATTTCTGGTGTCATTGCCTTTGAACTTCTCAGTGCTGAAGAGTTAACAGCAAGAACTTCTATGTCCTGGATAAAACTTCTCCAATGTGTGGGCCTGAGTAAAACTTCATGGTTTAGAATGAATGAGAAGTTAAAATGATATGAGATAACTAAAACAAGACGCTATTTTTAGTGAATGAAGCAATTTATGAACCATAAATGAAATCTACTCCCTCCTTTCCAGAAACAGAGGTACACATTGACTTTTTTTAGGTCAAACAAATAACTTTCCAACTTCATGGATGCATAGACATTGAACAATAAGGACATATTTATGGTACATTAAGAATTTTAACATATACCCTCTGTTTCCCAAGAAAATGCCAATGCTACTTATCACATGGTTTAAGAAAATGTGTTAAACTATTGATCAAATATCTAAAATACCCTTAAATAAGTACAAGAAGATTGAATCTTTCGACTCAACTCAAAACCATCAATTTATTTTTAATGATGCTAGCAAGCAAAAAAACTTTGTTAGACATGAAGACGGCCATCCAATTTTGAATGTCAAATTCAGTTTCTGCAACCTCCTTATATCATTATGAACCTCTCTTCTTCTGAAACATGGGGAAATTTTACTTGAAGAACAACAGAAGTTGTGATGTGTTTATCTAACCAGTGTTGCTCATTTTCTATATGCAGAGCTAATATAGGAGCTTCTCTCTGACCCCTTCCGAGTATAAAAGTAATGTTTAAATAACAAGTGTTAAAGGAATTAAGTTCTGACATGTTTCGGCGTGCCAAAAAAAGAATCCTGGAAGTTACTTTGTTTTGCAGGAAAAGCCCAATCAGCTCTACAGTCATCACAGTATTTCTACTTTGCAACATCTCTTGGTATTCAGTCCTCTTTGCATCATAACTTGCACAATCTCCTAACTCCATATCTTGAGGTACATTCCATCTAAATTTTCTTTCCTCAGTAACTTCCAGCAACCCCTCATCTCCTAATGCTGCCTCTACCAACTGCCAAACAACTGAAAAGATGAATACAAGTACTAAACTCCCAGGTTCAATGACTTTGACACCAAATATCTGAGAAAGCTGGAGAACATTGTCTATAGAATTCATAATCCTGCATGAACAAGTAGTCTATGAATAAGAAACAATACAACTTATTCAATTAGTACATTTATCAAAGCATCACATTCTCAATAAACTGAAACTGTCAGCAAAGAATATGAAGCAGCATGTAGAACTTCCATAATTTTATCAACAGCGACGTGAAACCAAAACATGATCATACTAATCCAGTCATGTAAAATACTATTTTATTTTGCTATTTGCAGTATCTCATATTAACTAACCATTAGGAAACGACAATAACGTGTTTCTCTACTTATATTTAATGTTGTTAATCAAGTGTGCTCAACGGCATCAAAATGAAATAAGCATAAAAGAAGACGTTTTTAAATAGGAGCCGCAGATACAACATACATAAGACTAACGCCACTCCATATTGAGTGATACAGTAGATGTAAATATATTGGCAAAAAGACTTTTTTACGATTATGTCTATAACAGGTTATGCAAGTCTTAGTCATGACCCTGTTATGGCTGAAGGTACAGCATATTTATCTTCTTTGTGTGTTTGTTGGTTAAAATGATGAATAGAAGACATGATATATTAAAATCCTTGGGAGAGAAGAGAATGCATACAAAGATAGAAAAGTTGTAGGGGATACAGGGAGAAGGCTTACACCGGATAATTTTGGAACTCTACATGTGATTTCAGTTTGAAAGCATGCCGTTTAAGGAGTTCCATATATAGCCGAAATGCTGCCTGTTGGGTATGACGCTTCGGAATAACCCTGTTCAGGTGAAATACTATTTAGCCAGGTAGCTATATATAAATTATGACAAGTCATAGAAAAGGACCCAATTCAAGAGAAAGGGTCAACATGATTTGGTCATAGGACCCAGTCTCTTTGCAAAATGCAAGAGAAAGGCTGCTGTATCAAGATCTTTGATATACCCAATCCTGGCATAACCATGGAGCTTTAGTGCACAAGGATCAACATAAAAACCAACAAAAGAACTGAGGGTTTTGGTCATATATCTATTGGAAACAATGGTACTATGATTTGCATTTTCCAACTTTGGAAAGTAGACTAAATTCAAATTACACCATCTCTTAATTAAAACATAATAAGAAAGCCAACATTTAAACACAGAGAATGACACCAATGCATACATATATATATATACATACATATATACATAAATACATACATGCATATATATGTATATATTACCCTGATGAGTGTTTGAGTCCCAGAAATTCTGGTCAAACAAATATGTAAAGTTATTGCAGTCCAAGAGTTAAATTCACATCAAAACAATGAGCTAGAACCAAATGAACAGAAACAAACTGCACTGTGTCAGTGGGGATCAGCTCTTGGATGAAAAAGTACAAAAGATTTGAGACCAACTTCAACTTCAAACTATCTCAATAAACCATGAAAAAAGGGGTTAGAAAAAAAATTGGATTCCTAGAAACGACTCAGCCAGATAGTTGATTTCACCCAAATTATTTCATGGGTGGGGGCCACATAATTAAATTCAATAAATCAGAATCAACTCCCAGAAACTAAGAAACAAAAATAGTAATGATGATAATAACAATGTTAAAATCAAGAAAGCATGGTAACAGGGCCAACTTTAAATAGCAAGTGTTTCTGAAATCAAGAAACCATGAAGATCTTCCAAAGAACAGAGAAGTAGGAGGGAAGGAATCTGAAGTGATATTGACTTTTCAATGAAATCCCAATTCAAGTTTTGTTTTAGAAATCAAGAAACACATGGGAGAGAAGGAATCTGAAGATAGAGATCAGAAAAACAAACCTGGTGGATAGAAGAGCAAGAACAAGCAAAGGAGGAACGATGTTGAAGATCAATGCTTTTTCAAGAAACTTCCATGAAATAGGATTGTTGCTCTCCCAACAAATGTTAGAAACCAAAAGGTTGGCTAAATCTGTGGAAGGAAGAGACACACCAGCTGAGTTTAATTGGGAAGAAAGATGAATTGCCCATATCAATGGATCACTGCCTTTATTCTGAGATTTCTTGGTTAGCTCAAGGACACTGTCCCATAGCCCCTTGCTACTCGAGGTCCCTAAGGACACGGCCATTAATACCACATATGCTGTTCACAAGAGAAAAAGAGAGAAGAGGGTTTCTTTTGGGTTGAGGATATAATATGGTGCCCAGTGTAAAAAGGTCTGAATGTTTGCAAGTCAATGTTGAAGGCGTGGGCTAACACAAGGGAAGAAGGTGAGGGAGTGGTGGCAGACAAGTATTTGAATATAATCTATTAATTAAATGGGCAGCAGAAAATGGCCTTTTAACAGAAACATGGGTACCTCATCTCTTTAGACGCCACCTTTAATTTTAATTACTTTTCATATACACAATAATTAACTACCAAAATTAAAAAAAAGTTTTCAAAAATTAGATAAAATCATCATTCTAAATAACTTGTTATGGTTTCAAGACTTGGGTTTGCTATCACGTTAACCCATATGACTCCACTCTAAGGCTTGACTTGCATTATGGTATATTATGACATGTTACGACATGTTATTTAGTAATGCATGGGTTACTTTAAGTTGAGGGATAAATGATAATTATGTAGAGACTAGAGACTTAAGTAAACAAGAGAAACTTAAAAACTAAAACATTAAATAGGTAAATACTTACTCAAATTCCCGTACACGAAACATCCGACACAAATTCTTTAAAAATTGAATAAAGTAGTAAGTACAGATTCAAGAGATTTAATCTCGATTTTGCATTCTTGATATCATCTTTTATAAACTCTATATAATTGATATCAACGGTTTTCTTTATTTTTTTAGTTTTATTACTTAATAAGAATTTTATTTGTTCTATAATATTATTTAAAACACTAACACATACAAATGTGTGTACCTATGCAGTCTTAGGTCATTGCCTTAAAAACGTCATGGTCATGTTATAACTTGTAAGACTTGAGGTTTGATCTCACCGTCACGTCAAACTCACTTTATATAGAACTTTGGATAGGATTTATAAATTAAAAAAAAAAGATAAATTATCCAATCAAAATTTAGACGCAATTTGTTATCCAATCACCCATATGCGTATCCAGTAAGTGTTTATCGATATGAGTCAACACTAGAATTTATTTTGATGCATAATATTTTAATACGTCAAAACGTATCAAATGCAACAATTAATAGGGTAAGCATTTACCTGGGTAAGAGTCGTCATCTTCACTTACTAGGTAAAACTCTACATCCTTCTCATAACTCTTACCTGGTAAGATTCTTGGCCCTTGTCAATAAAAAAATTTATCCAATAAGCGTTTAGTAAACAACCCCTTAGTCCAAGAAAACTATTATATTTTTGTTGTAATTTTTGATGTCTATCAATACAATTATAAATAAGATAAAATTAAAAGATACGAAGAATTTGGAATTATTTATAGATTGTCTAACAACTTTTTGATAAAAAATAAATAAAATACAATTAGAAACATTTTAAATTTAAAAAAAAACATTATTTTATTATGCAAGTCTTTTGTTAATTATCTATAAAAATAAAATATTAGACATCCAAGAGTATACATCATGTGATCATGTCAACATATTGCCAGTAAAACAACTTGGCAATTTAAACATAAAATAAAATAAAGAATAAATTATAAATTTGGTTGATTATTTAATTTACTTTAATTAATTTAATATTCTAATTTATTTTAATTATTTTAATATATGTATACGGAGTTACGCCCCTTCTTGCTATATTGAAAATTATGGATTGCTATCCAAACAAAATAATTATATATATATATATATATATATATATATCTCGTTATTGCGGTTTTATTTTGTTATAGATGGATCTCTGGTTTTAACGTTATTAATTATCAGTTAAATCTGTAATGTGTCACATATATGAGAAACATTTTTGTCATTTTACCTTTAATTAAATTTTTTTTTTTGAATGTACAATTTTGAAAGTGGATGGTAAAGTGGCACCTCTTTCCACCTTACCCCACCCCCCACCCCCAACCCCACCTCACCTCACCTCACCTCCATCTCTTTGGGTTTTGGCATCGATTCACTTCGGTTTCATCTCCATTTCATTCTATTTCAAAAATCAAAACCATAAATCACCCCACCAAAATGTTTCACAATTAACATCTTGTAGCATTTTTTTGACCTAAGTCAGGTTAGACCGACATCATTGGACAGTAGCCTAGATTCACCTGATATTCATCCTGGTTAGGGTCTCATCAAGAACCAAAGAGACTAGGAAACTCCCATTCTCTAGTGCCCAAGGAGTCACGTCAATTTTTAGATCGTCGAGTGATGGTTATGATGCATTCGATGAGGAAAATAATGATCGATGAGTGATGGTTATGAGGCATAGCTCTTTGGCGCTAAATAAGATGGCCGAATTTCAAGATTCAAGATGACATCATCTTCGACCTCTAGCTATCCAAACAAAGGAAAGTTGAGAGTGCAATTTTTTGATTTGTTAGTCCAGCAGGACTTATTGAAAGGTTGGGGTTCGTGAACTCAAGATTTTGTCAACTCATAATCAAGAAAGGGAAAAGTCCATATCACCTGGCACACTTACCTATTTTAAGTGACTAAGTTTCTAAATTTTTTTTAAATAAATAAATTATTGATTTTCCATTTCAAATGAGTAAGCCTCTGAATTTTTTTAATAAATAAGTCATCGAATTTTTAGAAATTGGTTGACTACATCATTTCAACCAAAACAGGTTATTTGTAACCAGCTAATAAGGCTTTAAAGTAAAAAAAAACTAAATCAATTTTACCGTTCTCAAATCTTACGTCATTCGTATCCCTCCTCGCCCCATCGTCCTTTGCTCTCTACCGTTGCCTTTAGCACCTGTCATCGATCTTCCTTTTTCTGATCATTTTTTTGTTTTTCGATTTTTCCTTTTTTTATATGTCTAAACGTACTCTATAAAATTGTTATCAAAGAGAAAAAAATTGAAAGACAAAACAACAAATTAAGAAGAAGGAGATTGAAGACAGAGGCCAACGACTGTGATGGGCGGTATGGAGAACGGACAACGATGGGGCAGCTGGTGCAGTTATTCTGTTTAGGTTTAAAATATGAGAGTAACCAATTTTCTGAAAAGTTTGATGGTTTATTTATTAAAAAAATTATATGACTTAATCAATCAAAATGAAAAAAATTTATAGCTTACTTATAAAAAAAAGTTTAGAAGTTTAATCACTTAAAATAGAAAAAAATTAATAGGTTAAAATTTAGGTTTTACATGATTTACCTTTCACCCCCCCCCCCCCCAAAAATCGAAGCCGTTACTCTAACAAAAAAAAAATCTATTGAAATCAATAAAAAAAACCAAAAAAATTATTTGAAATCGACAAAAACACTAAAAAAATCCCTCGAAATCAACAAAAAAACTTTAAAAATCCCTCAAAATGCTATAATTAGGTTAAAAACACATCGGACGATTTTGTGAGCTTTTAGTCTACCTTAAAGGTGATCCCACTGAACAAAAATCTTGGATCCGCCACTTGGTGATGTGGTGATTAAGTGGGAGGATGTGAGGAAGTCGGAGAAGATTACCGGCAGGGGGAGAGGTGGGGACGGAGGGAAGAGTCATAGAGTTAACGTCATTATATTTGTTTGTCTATATATAATATATATAACTATAAATTATATAATATAAAATGAGTTGGGTTTCAGTGAGAAAGATTGTTAAGGTGCATAGTGTAAGAAATGATCTCCACCCTTAAATGCACATTAGGATCAGATGCACCGAGAGGAAATGTACTGGATCAATCACCGTATCAAGAGCGATTCTTTGGTGAGTTTTGAGATTAAAGGTGATCAAGGGTCTAGATCTCTTCTTACGTTTTTCACATTAACTCTCCTTCTTACACGATCTTCCGCCATATAATATCCCTAATTTAACGAAACCAAAGTTAACAACATTAGGACGATGGATCCAATAAATAACATAGTTGAAACCACAACAATGATACTTATAAGTATTTCGTTTTGGGCATTTAATCTATTATTCTCATTTAATCACAAGAACGGAATATGTAATTTACTCTATTTATATTTAACCAAAAAATAATTGGTGACTGTCAAACAATATTGCTTTTTGTATTTTCAATAATAATCATAAAATTACAATGGTTAAGAAACATAATCTATACTATATTATAAAGTATTTGGCAAAAACTTTTAAAAATCATTCTTTATGCATGAAGTATTGTTTATTAATACATGTTACTTAAAATTTAATATTAGAAGTAAATTATACGTAAGTACAACTTATTAAAGTTTCATGTTTGAATTCGTATAACTAACCGCAGATAAACATAATCAAATACAGAATAAACATATCATTTTAAATATAAAAAATCTAAAATATAATTAGGATAATCATTATCTTTATAAAGTTTATATTGTTAAGCCAAAAATAAATTATTTCGTTATTAGATCTAAATTAAATTATAATAAGAAGTTGAATTAGAATTTGTACAAAAAATGAGAACTTATAAATAGTTAATTTGATATTAATATCGATATATTTTTTCAAAATTTTATGATATCTTCAAATTTATTTTTATTCAAAAGTAAAAACATTATCTTTATTAAAACCAATAAACCGTATTATATATCAACAGAGACAAAAGATAAAAAAAATTTAAAATAAAGATGTATTTCGTTGAATTGCACGAGTATCATTTTAGTATTAGCTAATTGGTTTTAAACCTGGTAACAATATTTAGAAAGGTAAATTCTATAGAAGTTGAAGTACAATTATTTCTCGTTCATATTGTACAAACTTTTAAAAACTCCAATTCTATTATGTATTTGAGTGAGGTTTAGGAAAATCCTCCAAGATTGAAATTAAAGAAAAATTTAATAAACGTTATGGTATATGATGTGCGCATGTTATGCATATTTATATACCAGACAAATTACTTGTATGCACATATATATAACACATAACCACAGATAAATGATTATTATGATGTTTTTATCAGTTTTTATGAACTTCAGAATCCGGATAATAGAGTAGGATTGAAAGCACAACGATCAATCAACCAAAAAACTTTGAAAACACACAAAATACGGAGATTTACGTGGTTCCAC